GGTTGTGGCTGAAAAAGGAAGAGATTTTTCTGTCTAAATGTACTTCAGAATAAAGCCCGTGGCATTTATCAGAATTTTCTAGTTGCTAGGCCAAACGCTTATACAGTGCATTCTATGAATGTATGTTATTGAAAGGAATATATATATTCACGTTCAGAAAAGTGGAAATAATCATAATGTTTTTGTTCATTCAGAAAAGAAGATTCTGCTTAAATTTACATATCTGCATAACTTTACGTACATTCAATAGAAATAAAACGAGAAAATAAAAATTGCATTAATATAGGATATTCGTAAGCATTCTTTTAGAATGCGAAGGATTGAGAAAGACAGAGATTTACGTTAGAAAATTTCTGTTTTAGCTCGTCATTTCGGTGGATAGATTAGCATCCTCTAGGGATTGGGAGGGGGCTGTGTTAAGGCAGCCTCGAGATTTCTAGGTCTGAGTGCCCCTTCCTCCTAGCACACTGTCTTATTTGACCTAAAGTTATAACCAGGGCCCGAGTTCGTCTCTCGTGTTCTCTTCTGTCTTATTTAAACGTGAAAATACTTGACGCTGATGCGTATGCAAGGGTAGACGCATTCGATAAATCGCTTAATCCTTACTTTGTGTCTACTGTGGCCATTGTAGTAATTTTTGCAACATTTATCTTTTTTGTGATTGCTTGTTGTTATTGTTTTTAACATGAAAAAAGGTAATTGCAATTGCATAGTATGTTGAACTTAGGTTAACGTTTCAAGTTGGAAAAGCAACGATTTAAACATAATTACTCGAAAAGTGTTTACCTTTTATATTTTAACCATTGTCGTATTCTTCGCCGCGTAAATTACTAATAACTAAACCATTTTCCTCTAAAGCCTTTAATAAGAACGTTGTTCGTCCTCCACCGGTCGCATCTGTTGTAATACAAAATACTAAAAACATTTCTTCATATCATGTCTGTATTTTATAAATTAAGATACCTCATACAAATTGATAACTCTTTTGCTGTTTAGCAAGATTCGACAATAACAACAAGCAATCACCCCCAACAAATACACGAAAGAGATTATACACGGTCACAAACACTCATGTCTTCTCCGGGATTGGAACCCGTTCCCTTTGGCACGGCAGTCAGCAACGTTAGCCCAGGGATAAATAGAAGGGCTAGGTCATTCCTTTGTTCGACTCCTCGCCGACGCGAGCCTCATAGGGGAGTTAATCGGAAGTAATCTGACGTCACTGTGTGCTACCCCTGCTCTGATTTCGCTCGTTTAAAACTGTAGTTTCATTCAGCTGCGAGTCGATTTTCTGGAAGTAATATATCCAAATTAATTTGAATCATATACAATATTTGTTTTCTAATAATGTAAATATTAAAAATAATTTGCACATATATATAGTTTTAGTCAGTTTTCCTATTAGTTTTAACAGTTTCCATTTAAATTGTATTAAAGTCCGTTCATGTAATATGGCTTCTTGTGCTGTGGCAACGTGCCGTAACACTTATAGAAATGCGAAAGGAAGAGATATTGTATTTCATGCTTTTCCAAAGGACAATTTGCTTTTGAGGAAAGAATGGATACATAAATGTCGAAGACAGGATTCTATTAAAGTGAAAAACGGAAGAATTTGCAGTCATTATGAAGATGACATGAGAAATCGCTTGCTTGGATTGCTGCAAAAGAAACTGCTGAAATGCAATACTGTGCTGAAAGTAAACTATCGTGTGCAGTAAACGAAATAACACCAAGAAATCGAAGATATTTGGAAAGAAAACTAATGTAGAGTGCTTTGAAAGACTACACGAATTAAGACCAAAGAAAATTTATTCTGACGCTGAGAAACGAAATTGAAGCTGACAATAATAAATCAAAGGTGATGATTTTGAAATAAAACTCACAAGTGACAATGCCTTAAGCGACAATATCCCTGAATGACTAAGTGTAAAGATAAGGAAGAATGTATTGATAATTTGAAGAACAAAATAACATCTTTAGAAAATTGTAATAAAATATTCAAATATAGAGAAAAGAAAAATTTTAGAATATTTGCTCAGCGACAAAGAAGGGTGAACGACATCTAGGAAGAAATTTGTATCGGAAATTCAGAAATTAAAATCTCCCACACGAAATTTAGGAAAAAAACAGCACAGATCGGAGAATTTGGAAAAAGCATCTAAAGCATATTTTTACAAAGACGCAGATTAACGCATTGCTAGAAAAGAAAGGAAAAATTATCAGGTGGACTAGTGAAGATATTTCACGTTGCATTGTCCTAAGAGTTCTGTCATCTAAAAGCTACGATTTTTGGTAAGAAAAAATGGGATTTCCTTTACGTAGCACTAGCACATTAAAATCAAGCGAAAAAAAAAGCATTAATATAAGTTATGTTATATTATAATATGTTATATTGCCTACAGTGTGCGAGACAAAGACCCATCGTTGGGAACAATATCTAAAAATAGTGCTGATGAATCAATATTTTAATTCAGAATGGATTAAATTATTGTTCTTAGGAGGTTTGACTACACCTTCCCATTCATGGATGAATACAGTTTACGAGTTCGAAAACATATTTTGTGCAGCTTTTGATACAACTTACTATAAAGGGAAGCATGTAATTGGTCTTTAATTAATAAACAAGAGAAACATTATCCTGAAGTTAACAGAGAAGCAGTTCGTTTATTTTGCAGAGTGCAAACTTTTATTAGAATACATTTCTTAAATATAAATGCCATGTTTTTCCCCAAAGAAAAGCAACCCAAAACGCAAAAAAAAAGGGATTGCTTCGAATGTGGCGCCAATAAATAATATTTCAACAATTTTGTGACTGTACAAGTAAGCATATATAATATGTTTTGATTGAAATATTTTAGATGATATTTCGAAGTTAATAGCGTAAAGCATATTTTAAATGGGAACTAATTTGTTAGTTATTGTTAAAGTATTTTTTATTGTATCCTGTGTTATTATTGATTTTATTTTGTGTGCTACCTTAGCATTCTAGATAAAATATAATATCAAATATTAAAATAATTGGCATAAGAAGACCTGCTCCTTAACCCCCACTTTTGAAAAATTAAAGAATTTTTTTAGTTACTGTGAGTAAAGTTGTTTTATCTAAATTAAGATAACAATCTTACATGTATTTATTTAAATGTAATATTGGTGTAATATGTATTTAAATGTAATATTGGTGTTTACATGTATTTATTTAAATGTAATATTGGTGTCTAAGTTACAAAATTATTAAAATAATATATGCCAATGTAAAATTTACGATTAGGCTGAAACTGAAACTTAGATTAGCAAGCATTTTGCCATATATAACCATACATGTTTAAAACTATGCCAATTTAAGGTGTTTTTTGATTAATTTTAAATAGCTGTTATTACAGTTATCTTAGAATGAGTAGTAGAGTTCTCTTAGTTACCATGCAGATAAAGAAAGGATTAGAAATAAACAGGCATTTAAAGAAAAAGAATCCCTGCAAATTAAAAAAACAGGAACTTTATACTAAGAGTAGCGAATTATATTTGTTATTTTAAAACTGAGTAAGTACTATTAAATTTTTTAATGTTCAGTGTAAAATGCATACTGCAGTAACATTGTCTCTTCCCAATTATAGCTATCTTTCACACACAGCTGATTTTAAACTCTGGCTCTTCAAATTTAAAACGCTAATTTCTATGTCGTCAATTGCATCTCCGCGCTCAGTGTCATCATGGCTACGTCATCACTCCCCACTGCCTGTTTCAGGGGGAAAAGCTCTATGAGCTAGCCCTTCTCTTTTAAGTTCTGACGTTAGCCACTATACCGGTTGGGCGGTACTTTATTAACATAAATGTATGTATAATTTTTCAATAAATATAATTGTGTATGAGTTTTAAAACAAGCACAAAAGGTTTGCATATTAGACAAAAGATAAATGTAAGTGTTTTGGCTTTTCATATTATTATGTTAATAATGCTTCATTTTAAATGTTAACCATAAGCAATGTCCCTTTAATGTCGTCATTGCATACATGCGCTCTCTAGACATTTGCACGACGATTAGGCTTGGCGCGGGCCTGCCAGTTTGTGAAATTTCGTTTCAGATTCGAAATTTTGTAGCATTATTTGTAGAGTATTATTAATGGCGAGTACACATTATCTCATTACGCATAATGTAGTGAATAATGCAAACGTACCTAATATTTTCATTCATAACAGAAAATATGCATATAATATAACTGTCTAAATAAGAAATGAAAAAAATCACTCCCCCCCGTACCAATAGCTTTCGACATATAATTTTCTCAGTTCGGTAAGAAATATAAACAAACAATGGTAATTCGTGTGCTTTCCTAATGCTTGCAGAATACTTAAAATTATTTTCTGTTCTAAACCAATTCTCCTTCTATTAGTCGTAATGCAGGCATTTATTATATTCCTGGACAGTCATTTGTTAGAAGTAAAGCACCCATTTATAGTAAGCGAAATTAAAAAAATTTGTAAAATAAATTTAAAAAGACATTTCCACGAATATGAATAACTGTGTAAGAGGAATAAATGCAGAATAAATGCAGTCAGTACTGTTTCTGAGGATTTATTTATTTATTCTTGACTAACAGTTAGTTATGAATTAAAGCAACTTTCCTGTCACTCTCCTTTTCGCCCGTGATTTTTATGCCAGAATGTAAATGAGATATCGCGCGTTTATTCAGATTGAGGGAGAAAGAAGTACTATTTAAGCGAAGGTTTCGCAAGTTGATTTTAGAGGTGTTCTCCTCTTGAGGCACTTGTTACTGCAAATATGATTTATTCTGTGGCTTGATGCTTAGCCATAAGCTGCTCCCGCTTTCACAAACTAGAGCTCTTGAAGTTCTTATCCGTAGCGTAGGTGATTAATATGTTAAGCCAGAAGTGTTCACTCGTAAACCAGTTATTTTTTATTATCAGTTTCAGCAATTTTTTTTACCAGTATACATTTTTACCATAACTCTCTGTTTCTAAATCATATCCTGAAAAATTAAGGAGTAAAGTACACAAAGAAGGAAAATATGCAAGTAAATAATGGCATTTAGTGTTGTTTATGTGTCTAATATTTGTACTAGATTGTAAAAGTTATAAAATTCTATTAGCTTTTTTAAATTGAGATGCTTCTTTGCACCCAAATGGTTAAAGCCCTAGTGTGACTTTGGTACTTTGATCTAACTTCTATTCCTAATAAATAATCCAGCTGCATACAGTTTACTCAATTTCTGCCATGTGTAAGGTAAACAATATTAGCTTTTTTTTTAAATATATCTTTTACAACTATTCCATCAGGTAGATTTCTTTCATATTTTGCCTTAATTGAGTCATCCTGCTAATTAAGAATTTATTAAAGTTAATATGTTAAGTTTTTGTGTGTATAATTCATTTTAAGTATGTGCAAGCAAATGCATACATTAACAGTTACGTAGAATTATGTTTTGGGTATCAAATTCAGAAATTTTGGGGCTGTTTTTAGAAGATTTATTAATGATTTATACTATATTAATATTGGTAAAAAAATTCTGTGGCTTTTATATGAGAGTATATATTTTAAAATAGCTGCATGATATGGTAGAGGTAAAAAGCTTCATGTGGATCATAAATTAATATTATGTGGCAATTTTTCATTTATTTAATAAAGAAAATATTCAAGCCACAATTAAAATTTTTTCACTGGATTATTTGCATACAAAGTTTGCAGCAAATATTTCCTGCAACAGAAGTGACAATTTTTATTTTGCCAAGACAGGAAATTTAGTTAGTGAAAGCAGTAACCCTATTTTGAGATGTTAAACAGGAAGGCAAATTTTTGAATTTAAATTGATTTTTGAAGGAAGACTTCATTTAGTCTTGCTATCATTCTACGTGGCTCTTAACTTTTTTATGGTATTTATAATTTTATTGTTATTCAGCTTTCTGTTTGCTTAGAATGCACATGAATGTAGACTTGAAATATTTTATATTGCAAACTGAGATGCCATTGTTATCATAATTAAAGATTTTTGCTCTGATTTTGGAGGAATTTACTGATAATACTTTTGATTGTGTATTGGTTTCTGGTTTATTGAAATGTGTAAAATAGCCTGTTAATGCATATACGTATGTTAATGACATGTATATGTTTATGAAGTATTCTGTTATATGTATATAGTGTTGTGATTAGTTTTCTGCTTACTCTTTATTTAAGAAAAAGTTATCTGTAAGAAAGCGAATATTCTTTACTATATGTAGGAGTAAAATTGAAAAGGCTAATGCAATATAATTAATACAAAATTAAGTTTTTTCTCATGTACTTAAATACAAACATAGCCATTAAAGACTTTCTCAACCTTGCAGTTCTAAACAAATCTTAAGTATTTTTTACTTGAAATTATAGGCATTGTGTAAGGTATATAATTGAAGCTTACTGTGTGATAGTATGAAATTAAATTTTTAATTACTGAAATGTAAATTTTTAAATATGAAATACTCAGTGCATTTTATATGCATCTTTTAATACTTCAACTATATTTAAAAACTGAAAACATCTGAAGTGTGAAATTATTACAAATTTTTCTTTTTCTTGTTTAGGAGCTGTTCTCAAAACATTGGGTGACAAAGAATTCACTTTTACAAAAATCGAGCAGGATATTAAAGACAGCGAACTATAGAACAAATATGGCGAAGCTGCATGAAGTCTATGTTGAATTTTATTATTGAAAAAAATATGCTCTTCAGATTTAATGTTAGTTTTTATTGTTTAACAGTAATTGCAGTTTTCGAATACCTGTAAAATAAACCTAATTCTTAAATTAATTTCATGTGTATTTCTTTTGCAAGTATTACAGTTCATAATACTTCAAACAACTTGAAATTTTATACTTGTTAATTTATGTGGGATATGTTCATAATAATTTTATAATTTAAATAACTCATTGTCATCATATGAGCATAATCTAAAATGCACAGCATTTGACAACAAATTAATAAAAAATTAGCCAACTTCTAATTGCTTTCTTTTGTCCAGTTGCCTCTTTTTAAATCATTTAATACCATAAAGCTATTTGATGAAAAAAAATAATTGGTATGTCCACATCAACATGTACATTTATAATGATGTTATAGAAAAAGTCACATGAGATAAATATTTAAAAAACTTCAATATTCCTAAACAAATTAACTTTTTAAAATTTTATCTGGTATATAAGATAAAATAAAGAACATATTTAGGTAATTTTGAATTTGCATAATTTTATGAACTTATTTATGAAATTAACAGTTACATTGTAAAAGGGAACTTTTTTAAAAATACCTCAATAAAGCATTTCTTTTGTAGAGGTGAACTTTTAGTACTGATCTAATATATTTATAAGATTTTAAACTGAGAAAGACAACAATAATAGATTACAATACATTGCAAGATTGACTGATAAATGTAAAATTTTTACATATCATAATTATGTGTGTAATTAAAACAGAAGTTACTCGATTAACTTGCATGCAAATTAATATTTTCTTTAACATGTTTGGGATAAACTGAATTTTAATAAATAAATATGTATATATTTGTGTATTATCTGAAGATATGAATGAAATATTTGTGACATTAAACATTCATCTTCAAGGAAAATAACAAAGTCAACTTGGTAAACTATTGGAAAAGGTAAGTTTTCTACAATTTCCTGGTCTATATTTAACAATTTTAAAATTTAGCACACTCATTCAAATAATCTAAACGTATGATGTTTTCTTTTGTGCTACATTCGTTTACTGAATTTGTTAATTAACTATATTGTACTTTAGATAGAAATTAACGTAGATATTCCCTGTATTTTACGGTACAAAAACTTATATATTTGATAATAATTGACCTAAATCTTCCCTATGTTTTCTTTGCATATACGAATGACTTTGGTAAAAATTTAGTCCGATGTCTTCTCCTCTTTACTGTGTATAAGTGCACATTTTTGGTAAAAAATTTGCATAAATCTCCAATTACCTATTTACTGCATTTTTCGTAAAATGTGCTTATTTTAATCTCTTATTTTTTATATAAATCTATGCAAAAATGTTCTGCATATTATGATTAAAAGATAAAATTAATTTAATATCAAATTTTTACATATCCACCTTTTAGGTATGTACAGCAATATGGAATATATATAACTGGAAAATTTAAATGCAAAAAAATTAATTTCTATTCAAAAATTACATAACACTAAAAGGCTGAAAATCACTTTTAATATTTCATTTCAAAGTGACTACAAAATATGCAATAAATTTCGTAAACATCAATTCTGTGTTTTAAATCAATTAATGCTATCGTTCATTTGCATTTTTGTTTACTAAATTCATTTCATAAATTTAAATTTAGTAAAAAACTGTAGCAAACAGTTGTTTACTAAATAACACTTTAAATAAATTATTTGCTTTTTCGAAGGACATTTTCTTATGCCATGTAAATGAACGATAGCATTAATTGATTTAAAACATAGAACTCAGGTTTACAAAATTTATTGCATATTTTGTAGTCACTTTGAAATGAAATATTAAAAGTCATTTTCAGCCTTTAAGTGTTACGTAATTTTTTAATAGAAATTTATTTATTTATTTATTTTTTTTTGCATTTACTAGTGCATTTAAATTTTCCAGTTATATATATTCCATATTGCTGTACATAACTAAAAGGCAGATATGTAAGAATTTGATATAAAAATTATTTTACCTTTTAATCATAGCATACAGAAAATTTTTGCCTAGATTTATATAAAAAATATGAGATTAAAATAAGTACATTTTATGAAAAATGCAGTGAAAAGGTAATTGGAGATTTATGCAAATTTTTTACCAAAAAATGTGCATTTATACACAGTAAAGTGGAGAATACATCGGATTAAATTTTTACCAGTCATTCGCATATGCAAAGAAAACATAGGGAAGATTTAGGTCAATTACTATCAAATATATACGTTTTTGTACCGTAAATTACGGGAAATATGTACGTTAATTTCTATCAAATATATACGTTTTTGTACCGTAAAATACGGGGAATATCTACCTTAATTTTTACCTAATATATACGTTTATATACAGTAAAAAATCGGGGAAATTTACGTAAATTTTTACTAAATATATACGCATACGTGAAGCAAAAAATTGAGATTTACGTATATGCGATAAATATACGTAAATTTTTACTAAAAATATACGTAAATCCCTGAAATTTACGTATATTATACGTAAAAGTTGCGAATGAACAGTAGTCTCTCGCGTAAATATACCTAAATTTTACGTAAAAGTTACGTATAGTATAACGTAAAAATATACGTAAATATTTAGTAATTGCCACTGGACACTTTTTATGATATTTTTACGTTCAACTTGAACGTTTTTTTTATACGAAAGGCCATTCGTAAATTGCACGTATTTTTTCTCGTGCAATTTACGAATGCATGCTGCCTGGGTCGACATACAAACTTTGATTTCTCTCAAAAGATAATGAACTGAAATAATAAACTTAATAGTACCCAAAATACAATAAATTATATTGTAATTTAAAAAAATTTACAAGTTTCAACAAATACCAATTCTCAACGCACAGTTCGGGAATTAAGAAAATATCTCATAGCGTATAATGTTTTATTCCGTATCTCACTTTTAGTGCTATATAATCTTCCACAGATTTTATATAAATAAAATCTATAACATAATGGGTATTTATAGTATATGTAGTTCTTGATGTAAAAAAGATCAACTTTCGTACTGTAAAAATTCCATCTATGTGAATAAGTATGAATATACTCATATACACAATTTAATGAAACTAAATTCCTATAGAAAAATGGGGAAAGTGTAGAATCGCCCACTGCTTGACGTGTTTTTAAGAATTGCACATACTCGGTATCCATGTACACATCGACCTATTTTCACTTAAAAAAAACATCTCAGAATCGCACAAAAATGCCATTGTGCACTCCTTTGACTTTATTCATTTACACATCGACCTATTTTCACTTAAAAAGTCAAAAGAAAATTGAGAAAAATCCAATTCCTTTTACTTTTGTAAAAAGTGCCAAATAAATAAGTGGTCGATTCTGCACTTTACCCGAAAAATATATATAAAATACCATTTACCTATATATATTAATAATTTATTATTACACAAGGTTTTTCATATATCATCTCAAAGGAACATAAATTTAATTAAAGCGATGCATTATTGGAATAAATTTGAGTCAGTGTTTTTAGGTGCAAGTTATTTAGATTTCTATTGTAGAAAGAATACTTTAGAAAATGTATAGAAATATTATTTTGAACCATAAAAATTCTCAATAGTAAAATTTAAAGTACTGAAAAGGTAGCTATTGTTTTTGACAGTAGATTATATAATATAAAAATACCTCATGCTGAGCATTTTCTGAAATTACAATGCCAAATGAAATTGATATAGTGCAGTAGTATTTAGCAATAATAACTTTTTGTAAACAAATGTAGCTATATTCGCTTAATTGTAATGACAGTAATTTTAACTGCATTTGTATAAGGCTGTACAGAAGATTTATTTATATGGGTTTTCATCCGCAGAGAACAACCGGATTCCTGTGGAAGTGCTTCCGAAAATAATGTTTAAATATTACTCTAACTATATTTGAAAGCAATGCTATAACAGTGCCCTTATAAGACTCATGATCCGAAAAGCTTTGGTTTTAAATTGTCTCGTAAAAACTTTCAATTACTTCTGCAAAATTCATACCCACGTAAAAATTACTACACCGAAGTCAATTAAGTCAATTGATTATACAGCAAAACGTTCCTAAAACAATCAACTCCACAATTCGAGATAATGCCAGTTTCCTGTAGCCTGACAAAACTATGAATGATTTTTTAAGTCCTGTTTATTTAATTATTGTCCTGACAAATGTGCCATTATCAGAGGTGGTCATTTAAGAAAATAACCACTATATGAGGTTTCAACTTAATGTAATTTTTTTCAAATAAATAATTCACTTTTTATACTCCCAAGACTAGTACATTTAATATTACATAAATCTTATTCACAAATCTATTTCTATTTCAAAAGCAATTTATGAAAAACACATTTGAAATTTTCTTCATCAAACTAATAATAATGAAAATTAAAGTATGCATAAAAATGATTATATGTGTTTTAACAAAATAGCACAAAATATTTAATGTAAAAATGTGGTTCTAGTCTCATACTTGTAAAGAAAAATAGACCAAAAAGAAAAAACAATGTAAGCTACTATGATCATCTAAATTTTCACATAATTTTAGTAGTGGAAAAAAGATTCCTTAAGCTTGTATGTCTTGTCTA